CCAATCAGCAAGTCTATTTTTCCTGGACTTCCGAAATTAGGGTCAGCCAACGTGATGTTTGGGATTTTCCAATTTTCCGTCGAGATTGGATATTTCGGTTGATCAGCAACAATGTGAGGCATTACCATCGCTTCCAGTCTTGGGACAAAGTTTCCATATTTTGACTTTATCTCTACATTGAGGTTTGGTTTTCCTGCTGTCGGAATCCTTTTTGAAGTTCCTTATCAGAGATTGAATGCGCTCGCCCAGCGCCTGCTGTTCATCCAATAAAGTGGTGATATTTGACGATGCCATTTTACTTTATTAAATAAACCTTAAGAGGTATTTTGTTATTGATGTGCCTCGACTCACACCGTGGTTTATTAATATCAGTAAAAGTATCGCAATCACGTAGAAATTGCAGATTGGTTCGCCGAGTTGACCAAATCTGTGCTTTGAGTTATCCCAGGTCGCCTTGTTGACCTTTATTGCTTCTTTTTTTTTTTTTTTTTGACTGTCTATCGCCAAGTTGATAGCAGTTAGCACCAGAGTTCGCCAAGTGAACTTCTGTTTAAATGCTGATTGGTCGCCTTGTTGACCAATTAATCACTAACGTGATTGCTTCAGTTGACTTGAAATTTTTTTTTTTTTTTGTAATCAACTGTCGAACAAAATGCGGTTCGAAGTCGGGGGTCACCAAATGTTGACCCAATAATTACTATCGTGATTTTTTTTTTTTTTACTTGATTTAAAATAAGTTTAATTCATCTTTCGAACAGAGTGCGGTTCGTAGTCGGGGGTCACCAAATGTGCGGATTCAGAATAAATCCTAATGCTGAAATAGTTTTAATTGCGTGCCTCAGGTTCAGTACCAGTGGCAATGGTCGCCGCAATAAGAACAATACCAATTGGGCTGTGGAGAAGTGATTACGCAAAGAGTTCTTTTCGTACTGATTTTATTGGATACTGCATGGGGTTTATATACAAGTTAACTAACTCAGCCGGACAACGGCAATGACCGTCCGCCCGAAAGCTCGCTCCGGCCACTTTTGTTAGCTTTTAAGTTCAGTTCTGATTTTATATTCATACATTAAAGAGCTGCTGCTCGATTTATCGTACTCCGACTACCGTCGTTAAAGATTTATCATTTGAAAACTTTCTAAGTCTCTAGGCCAGTAGTTAAAGAAGGGTAGTCCCCCTTCCACCGTAATCTTCATAACTTGTTTGGGAGATTCATCAGCCAACCGGCTAGTGACCATCGCAGCGGACACGTCCCCTGCGCCCTGTGGATCATCTGCTGTAACTTACCTTGGAGAAGCCTTAGGCCAACCGGCCTGCAACAGAGCGGCGAATATTACCACCCGCTCCCGATTTATATCTGCAACTGCGAGAAGTCTTAGGCCAACCGGCCTGCAACAGAGCGGCGAATATTATCACCCGCTCCCGATCTACATCTGCAACTGCGAGGGACCGTCTGAGGAATCTCTATTGCCACCGGCAATATACAGTTGAGATATAATATTTACTAATTTACATGTTTTCGGGTCAAAGGGTATTTACTTAGGTCTACTGTTGGGTTATATAAAAACATAAACATACAGCCATGGAACTACTTAGATAACTAATTCCTGCGACGTCTGCATGCAATTGGTGTGAAGAACGTGACCGATCGCGGGATTCTGTTTATGGCCCGGAATCACACATGTGTGCGCGGACCTGCGTGACCCGGGTATCGCGAGTTTCCCGAGTTTATTTAGGTAGATGGGCGGCGTCCAGATGCAATCTTATCAATAGATGGCTGGTAGCAGCTGCGAGCAATTATCTTCTTGACGAAATTGTACAGCTGCCGTATACATATATTATTCGCTTGGTACATATATGTAAATAATAGAAAAAAAGGGGTTTCTCCTGAACGACTGAACGGAATTTGATAAAACACCTACCAAATTTCTTAGAATAGCGATGTCGTTTATTGGGTATTCATAATTAACACAATTGTTCAAATTGTCAATATAAATATTTTCTGGCGGGAGACTTATCGATAGGGTGTGGAAAGCGCTCCTATCGATATGAAGCCAGTGTTAATTAATTGGGATCAGAAATAGAAACACCTGATTTTCTCAAAATCTGCCGGGTAGAATTCAATAAGACTTAATTCGAAATTAGAGAAAAATATTCCCCTTCGTTTGATATACCGTGCATGTTGGCACAAATTCGTTGAGGACTGCAAACATTTTTCAAAAGTTAGCGTCGAAAATATCGTATGGGGCACTCCACGTGGTGAGAGGGTAGATATGAGCCAGTGTTAATTAATTGGCGTCAGAAATAGAAACACCTGATTTTCTCAAAATCTGCCAGGTAGAATTCAATAAGACTTAATTCGAAATTAGAGAAAAATGTCCCCTTTCGTTTGATATACCGTGCATGTTGGCACAAATTCGTTGAGGACTGCAAAAATTTTTCAAAAGTTAGCGTCGAAAATATCGTATGGGGCACTCCACGTGGTGAGAGGGTAGATATGAGCCAGTGTTAATTAATTGGCGTCAGAAATAGAAACACCTGAATTTCTCAAAATCTGCCGGGTAGAATTCAATAAGACTTAATTCGAAATTAGAGAAAAATGTCCCCTTTCGTTTGATATACCGTGCATGTTGGCACAAATTCGTTGAGGACTGCAAAATTTTTTCAAAAGTTAGCGCCGAAAATATCGTATAGGGAACGACACGTGGCATTAGGGTCAATATGCGCCAGTGTTAATTAATTGGGATCGGAAATATTAACACCTGATTTCCTCAAAATCTGCCGGGTATAATTCAATAAGACTTAATCCGAAATTAGAGAAAAATGTGCCCTTTCGTTTAATATACCGTGCATGTTGGCACAAATTCGTTAAGCATTGCAACATTTTTTTTAAATTTAGCGCCGAATTTAGATGGTGTTAGTTACCAGGGGTTACAACAATAATTAAAAAGTCGGGTAATAGCTAATTTCTCCCAAAAGACTGGACGGATTTTGATGAGACACCTACCAAATTTCTTAGAATGGCGATGTCGTTTATTGGGCAGTTAATTTATTTAATATTAAGTTCCATAAATTGCCAATGTTCTTAAATCTAGTATTTCTTTAACATGGTTCCGCTGTCTGGTTCGGCAACTGGTTCTCTGCAGATTCACAGCTGGTTCCATTTTCAAAGTTAGCGCCTCTGTTATCAGCCCACCTACACGACCACTGCTATGCGATTTTCTCAAAAACTGACGGATAGAATCTTATGAAAGTTTTACCAAATATACTTTTGTAAACTCCTTAGTTTATTTTAAATAATATTTACAACGGATGGCTTTTATTTTTAACAATTTTTCTCTTCTCGATCCGAATCACGTTGTTCTCGCTTTTTTGTTAAGATCCAAAGTGACCGTCCTTTCTGTTTTACAAAATCCTACTTAAATCTACGATCGGTCGCCTATCGATAACTGTACAATAGTTGGTCACACTAAGGCGCACCATATGAAAATTGAGGGGTTTACACTTTAATAAGCCAGTATACCGTGCATATTGGCACAAATTCGTTAACTGGAGTTATAGGAGTTACAATGTTGCATTTCAAGTCGGAATGGGCTGGAGGGCTATCGATATATCGATAGAGGTAGGGTCGGTAGGAACAGGGGGAGGCAGGGACTGGTGCGCGAACCGGGAAAAACCAAACTTAAGAGAAAGGGTTTTTACCCTTTTCACTAGGCCGTTGCACTGAGCGCCCCAAGATTACGGTAAGCCGAAAATTGGAACTCGGACAACGGAGCCTATATAGTGAGGCATGAGGCTGGAAGAGGGAGAGATTAGCGGGACGTCAGCCGGCGCGTTAGCATCGAGTGATTAGAGGAAAGTGGAATTTAAGATTTAAAAAAAAAGAAAAACGTGAGTGAAGTGGCGCCAAAGAAAATAGCCATAGTGAATATAAATATGGTTTTTCTTACAGCGTGGCCGTGACGAATGACACGGGCCACGGGTCTTTTTTTTTCGTTATTCTCTTGATGTTGGTGCATTCGCCGTCTCCGAGCGTTTCGGTGGATTTTTGTCTGGGCGAGCCCCTAATTTCCCGAGACACCTGCGAGACATCCGGTCCCAGGACTCTTGTGCGCAGCAGCGGCCGCCAGCACAAGCCAGCATCAGCCGAACCCGGAAGCAACCGGCGCACAGTAGCGCCTCTCGAACAATTAGCGTTGCAAAAATCGAAAAAGTCATGTTCGCAAAAACGATTTTAACCATACTTATTCGACAGGAAATTTAACAAGGATTCAGAATCTTTAAGATTTTTTTGTAGAAGTTATGAGCATTTAAAGTTGAACTTTGTTTCGTTTTTGCATCATACAAAAAAAATGTGTAAATTGGTCGACTTTCAGGTAATATTACAAAAAAACCATAAAACCAATGGTCATGGTTTTAACTTTAAATGATAGATACATTCATGAACTATTAAAGAACCTAAAAAAACGACACTTTGGTTTGGGCTTCTACAGGTAAATCGCTACCTGCCAGGTGTCCATTTTTTTTCACCTTTTTCTGCCTAAAGTAGTCTATATCTTTTGACGCCAATGCCGGCCACTGACTACACTATAACTACAAGTTCCGTGGATCTTTCCTGGATCAGAATTAACTTTCATCGGCTGCGTCGAGCTGCGTCTGCGGAAATGCAACGCAAAAAACCAAAACAACTCAGGGTAAAATATACCAAAATACCGACACAATTTCATACATTTCAAGAAATATACTAACTGTAGCGCGTGGCGGTTAACTTCAAATTAAAAAAAAATTTTTTTTCAGTTTTCAAATTATTTTTATTTGAGCAAATACATAAAAATAAACATAAAAAATTAAATAAAAATTTTTGTTTAAAAATTGTTTTCATTGAAAAAAAATTCTTTTTTCACTTTGATACCCTTTAAAAAGGCGTATTTGTGGGCGTGGTACTTTATGCAGTACATATATATATTTTACAACAAATACTTGTCCAATGCCGTTTAAATTATTCGATTACCTTATTTGGTTCAAAAGATATGATTTTTGCAACGCTAAATGAGAAAAGGCGCTACTGTGCGGCGTACCCAGCGGCAACTGGAAGACAGCGGTGAGTCCGTTCCGAGCAAAATTCGGCCGGCCCTAACCTAGGTGGTCGGCTAATGTTCATGCCGCTTGTAGGGCCTACATTTTTTGCTGCTAGTCCTGGCCGAATTCCGCTAGTCACCAATCCTGGGCTTCGTCTGCCCCATTCTGGCCATCGTTCTCAGTCGCCGGAAATATAGAGGAAATAAAATTATAATATTTAAGTTATTCGTTCTAAGTAATAGTTTTTGTTGTATTCTGTAACTCACTTGTCGCCGTACCTTTTTCTCCGCGTATTCGAGCCTTGTGTCCGGGATTTGTGCAACACAAGTGCTGCGGATTGAAAATTCTTAGGGTGAAAAGAAGAAGGAATTTTCGAGTGACCCACCCTTGTGGTTTCTTTTGGAGCTCCAGTAGGGACCCGAGGTAGGAAAGGGGTACGTAAAGTAATTTGTTGGCCGGTGTGTCGTTGGCCATTTCTCCTTGGCCACTTCTTTTGATCCTTTGGCGGCAGCCTTGGCGCGAGCGCATCTCTGGCTAGGGTCGCGACCACGTTGAGGATCTGGGAGGCGCGGACTCTGCCATGTACAAGTTAACCTGAAACGACAATTATAACATATTAAAAAGCGCAATGAACACCGAGTAAGCATTATTACCTGGGGGAGATGAGTCGGTCGCCAGACCGCCTGGAATAGACTCCGGTCCGCCGGAGAATGGGTGATGCCCCGAGATGACCAGGAGGCATCACTGGATGGGAGGGTGCGTCGTGGCGTTCACAGCTAAGCCACCAATTCGTCCAAATTGTCGTCCAAATCTTTGTTTAACGTAGTGATGTGAGTTTTGTTAGTGATGGTGTTAGTCGAGACGTCCGATATTTTGTCGGTATTCGATTGTGCGGACTGCGGGCATCGGGTCGAACCCGCCCTGGGCCACTCTGAGCTAGCCCGGCATTGCCCTGGCAAGAAGCAGTTCCGTAACAACAATTTTTTCTGCCCGATTTTGTATGGAGCGAAACCCGAGGTTAGTTTACTGTTACGCAATTTGCTCAAAAACTGACGGATAGAATTTAATGAAACTTTTCAGGGTGAAACTACAATAAATGTCCTTTAACGTTGACCCGAGATATAATCAAAATTGCGAAAGCACGATTTTTCAAATGCTTTTTTTCAAGAGACCCAAAGGTCAAATCCCCTCAAACCCCAATAAAAATCATTAGTAAATTCATTTTTAAGCATTTATAAACTTTATTTTGTTCAAATTAGTGTCTTATTAACGAAATAAATTAAAAATAAAAAATCCTTCAGTGTTCCATTTTCCCACCGTTCCATTTCGACGCTAACTCACCGACGCTAATTTGACGGACATATGAATTATTTAGACAGCGCGATATCAGCTGTTTACCATCTTGATCTGGCAACGCCATTCAATTTTCGCAGGCATTATTTTCGTCGTCAGAGTACTAGCAAAACCGACGAGGCTAAAAGTTCTTCTTCTTCCTTTTTAGACACCGTTTTTTATATTTAGGCCTGCTCCGGTAATCCTAAAATTTTTTCGATTTTGTTTTGGGCGAAAACGAACCGTTTTCGTTTTTAGCTGCTCCGGTTTTCGGCAAATTTCTGCTATCGGAATGTTTCGTTTTCTCATCGTTTTTCACTGCTCAAGCAGCTAGGTGGTGTTTTTGGTAATAAGAAAACAACGTAAAGTACTGCCTACTATATTTACAATTGCCCTTTTTATAAGCCAGAAAAAGGCAAAAAATGGTAGAGTTATAGGGTCTTTCCACACACCGTCAAAGCGCATCTACAGTCCGTTGAACAAACGGTCCATAAGGTTTTGCCGTTCCGAATTTTCCCAAATGGACCTGCATCAAAGCGCATCAAAATGTAACGACCGTTTGTTTGCCGATAGTTAGGCGATAGTTTTTCGGTGCAACTCTGAAAATTTGACCATCACTACGAAAGTGTATACACACTTGGCGAGAAACAAATGAGATATGGAATTTAAAATGTGGCGCCGAAGCTGCAAGCATGCCCAAAATAGTTGTTGGCGTTTTTTCTGTATATTCTTGCCCCAATATGTCTCCAATTGTTACTATTTAATATAAACCGCCTGCCTCTACCTTATTTTAAAGATTTTGGATGCCATTCAACAATGTGCTTTAATGTTGTGTGGGAAGACCCTATTAGTCATCAAATGAGATTTGGAATTTAAAATGTGGCGCCAAAGCTACAAGCATGCCCAAAATAGTTGTTAGCGTTTTTCTGTATATTCTTGCCCCAATATGTCCCCAGTTGTTACTATTTAATATAAACCGCCTGCTTCTACCTTATTTTAAAGATTTTGGATGCCTATACCACCTATAGACACTCTTCGGGGAATTTGCCCTTTGTTAGAGAAAAATCATTAGAAAAACTAAAATTCCTTGTCATTTAATTCATTTAAATTTAGTGCGGATAAATTCTGACGCAATCTGTGCCTTTTGCTGTTGTACAACAGCCAAAATAGTTGGTTAATGCTCCATTTCAAATTTGCAACTGCCAATTCGACAGTCTTTGTTTACGTTTTCATGGGCCACAGCTGATTGATCAGCTGTTCGGATGGCGGATGCGCTTTAACGCAGCTCTGTGGGAACACGAGTTTCACTTTTAGAAATCCCAACCGTTCCTCACAAATGCGCTGTGTGGGAAGACAGTATTAACAAAATACTAGAATTTCCTTGCAATACTTATTCTACCTATCGATTACAATGTTTGGCCGTCGACAATGGTATTGATTTATAATCAGGCCTGCTCCGGTAATCGTAAAAATTTTTCGATTTCGTTTTGGGCGAAAACGAACCGTTTTGGGTTTTAGCTGCTCCGGTTTTCGGCAAATTTTTGCTATCGGTATGTTTCGTTTTCTCGTCGTTTCTCACTGCTCAAGCAGCTAACTTGTGTTTTTGGTAATAAGCTGACAACGTAAAGTACTGTCTTTAATATTTACAATTGCACGTTTTCTAAGCCAGAAAAGGCAAAAAATGCTAGAGTTAAGCAAATCTAGGCATCTAAGATGCTGCCACACTTTTCACAGTTCTAATTCCGGTGGTCTCAATTAATTATTTGGTTAATTTTAACCATTTAAGTAATCAAATTAAACAGCATTAGTTATAAACAACCATTGTGGCGCTCTTTTAAAGTTATTAATGTATTCATTTATATTTTATAAGTATTTTTAACTGGCTGTTTCGTTCCACCAACAATACGGCAACCTTGGCGATAACTTTTTTCGATGAACTTATCGACCTATCGCCAAAACGAGAAAACTGGTTGAACACGGCAAAAATTGTGTTGTCAAATCTGAGGTGGGGTCAGAAATAAATTGTTTATAAAATAACTACCTGCCAGAATGATCTTATGGTGGTCTGGAATAAACATCAATAGACCACTGAGTAAACTGTTTTTTTTCTTTCTTTTTCGGCACGCCGAAGTTTGTATGACCTTGCAGATTGGTTTTCATATTTATATTATAAATTATAATGCCGAAAACAGACACTAAACAGAGTTTCATAACATTTTACCTAAAATTATTATGTTTACAGTTTGACAGTTACAGTTATACATTCCCAACTTTACATTTTCTCTACATCTACGGATCGCTTCCATGGCAGCTATATGATATAGTTGTCCGATTTCATAAAATGTGTACCAAAATTTTGAAATAATACCAAAAGCTCATGTGTCAAAGTAGATTAAAATACGTTGAAAAACAACAAAGTTATACAGGCCTGTTCTAGTTTCCACTTAGAAGTGAATTTGATAACATTTGCGGATTTCCCTTTAACATAAGCGAATTTCCCTTGGTGATTTATAATATTATTATTCCTTATCAGATCACATCTATATGTTATACAATTTTTAGTAATTCTTATACTAAAATTAAAAACTACGGTCGCTTTGTTTTATTTTACGTCACATTTTGTTCTTGAAAGTGTGCAATAAGTTTTGCCTTAAACTGCGCGGCACTGCTAATATTTCTTAGATAGCTTGGTAATTGGTTTCATAATCTTATAGCATAGATAAAGTACTGTCGTTCAGAAAGCAGGGATCTGTGCCTTATTTGTATAATAATATTTGACCTTCGTGAAGTGGAGAATCTAAGTGTTTCATACAAATAAATTGGTAATTTGGAAAAAATTATTTTTTGTAAGTAAACTAGCACTCTCATTTTTATCCAATCTGCCAAGTGGAGTTCAAATATATTGTATGATAGTCTAGTTACGTGATCAAATCATCGCAAATTAAATACGAATCTTGTAATGCTATTGAAGGCCATTTTAAGTTTGTGCTGACTGTTTGAGTCGCAATTAGCAAATAATTCGATCCCATAGAATTATGTTGGGATCAGGCAAGCTTTCGCAAGCAACATTCTTACATTTAGGGGTAGAAAGTTTCTAACCAAATAAAGCGATCTTAGCAATCCATACGTTTTCCCAACCGCGGTGTTAATGTGATCACTCCAGTTTAGCGTATTATTAAAAATAAAACCCAAATTGGTCGCTCTTTCTACGTATTCAATAGGGCTGTCATTTAAAAGTAAGGGCCCAATGTTAAGACTGAGTTTCTTTCTATAAATAATTATGCACTTGGATTTTGACGGATTCAGTCCTAGTCCGTTTTCTTTTGCCCAGTTGCTTATTTTGACCAGTTCATTTTTACATATGTCTACACACTCATTTATTCTATGTAGGGGACGGCTCACATACATTTGGACGTCATCTGCATACATATGGACATCACAACTTGACAACATGGAGGGAAGATCATTTACATAAAGGGTGAACAAAAGCGGACCAAGTACAGAACCTTGCGGCACTCCGCGTTTTGTAAACACAAAAGACGACGACACATTTGACACAACGACAGATTGACGACGGTTTTGTAGATATGATGTCATTAGTTTGGCAGCAGTTTTTGAGAAGTTGAACTGATTTAGGGTAAGGTGGGGTAAAGCCGACAGTGTGGGTAAACCCGACCTCCCTCTGTTTTCGAAAATCGGAAGCACTACGCAAAATAATATTAGTGTTGTCGTGTAGAGCATCGAAAACAATGTAAATGGTGGTATGACAGCATTTTATTAGTCAACATTGAGATGGTCAAACGACAACAAGTTTGTTTTCACAATTTTGAATTTCATTTTTGTGCATAATTAACTGCAGGATATTTCTTTTTGTCAAAGTTATCGCATGAAAAGGTAAGTGGATTTAGATTCTTTGAATAAAGTCCTACAAAGTGCATATAAGTTTGGTTCATTTTTTTTCATAATTTCTTTTTTAATTGCGTTTTTATGAAAAATTACGTGGTGGGGCAAATCCGACCTCTAAATAGCGGGGGTAAATCTTGCCGCAAAAAATCCAAAAAAAACAACAATCACACCAAAACCATCAACATCGCAGTCAACCAGACGTTCAACTCGAACCAAAAAACGCCAGCAAGCTATTTGAGCAGCGAATCAGAAGATACTGATTAATTATTTTGCTATTTAAATTTTTTTAATTCTTTTATCTTTTTTTACCATTATATAACATAACATTGATTGATTTATCATTGCAACACCTATATTTAGGTTATATCTGTACTATATCAACCAAAAACATAGGCGGTCGGGTTTACCCCATCATTTTTGAACATAGCAAAAATGAACTTTTTCGTAAAACGCTTGTATCTCAAAACTTTTCAAAGGTATGAATAAAATGCTATGCATAGAACGTTGCGCAAAAGTCTAACCTTTAATTTGGTATATATAACGACTTTATCCGATGTAAAATAAGCATTTTATAGCCAAAACCATTTACTAGGTCGGCTTTACCCCACCTTACCCTACTAATTTTGCACATAGGACATTATGATTAACGGTGTCAAAGGCTTTACTATAGTCAAGTAGTACAAGAAGCGTCACATTGGAGTTGTCAGCATATTCTCGTATATCATTTGCTATTTTTCAAAATTGCTGAGGTGCAGCTGCGATGTTTCCTAAATCCTGATTGGTTATTATTCAGTAAAGCGTTATCATGGATGAACGAGTTAATTTGAGATGCCATTATATTCTCAAAGGCCTTTGATAGGTACGGGAGAATAGAAATGGGCCTATATTCTTTGTTTGCCTTTGGAACAGGGATAATTTTCGCGATTTTCCAACGGTCTGGAAACGTGGAAGTTGTAAAGGCCGTGTTGAATATATATGTTATGTATATTAGGATTTTTGGTAACAACACTTTTATAAATTTAGGATTCATGTCGTCAAGTCCAACTGCGTCTGATTTGATTTTAAGAATATTGACGAGCACTTCACACTGATTGACACAAACAAATCTAAATCTACTATCACAGAGGTTTCGAGGTACTAATCTCAGGTACATATTGTTTTCGCAGATTTCAGGTACATTGCATTTCGACAGACTTATGTTTAATTCCTCTATGTCAACAACCTGTTCCGGCGCTGCTGGTTTCCTGCCTATTCCTAATGACTTTATTTCTTTCCAAGTGCGTGAGGTGGATGCTGTTGTTTGGAATCTACTGCTGTAAAAGTTAGTCTTTGTAGAGTCAATTAGTTTGGTCACCGTCTTTCTCAGTAATTTAAATCGTCCATAGTGTTCTGGCGTCCTATACCACTTTTGGTATGCGTCATTTCGGGATTTGATTGCTAGCTTAATGTCATTATTAAACCAAGATTTGACGGAATGTTTGATCACTTTGGTTATGACCGGAACAAAAAAATTTAAGGACATTTTTTTTTTAATTTCCCTTAAATTCCCAAACAAAATCAGCTGGTCGCTTTCAACAAAAGAGTTTGCCTTGTCTAAGATTTGCTAAAAGGGACTGATCAAATTTTGGCCCGCTATAGTCTCCAACTCATAGATAGTAATGAAGCACTAATTTAATTAATAAAATCAAAGGAATAAGCATTTACGGCTGGAAATAAACATTTTGAAATATTTGTAATTGCAATCAGCTGTTCTGGTCGCAAAATGCTCGAGTGTAGAGTTGCCGAGGGTTTAGAAAAAATTCCCTTCGCATAAGATTTAGTTCAGTTTGTAGATTAAATTGGCTGGTATTTTAAAGAAAAACACTTTTTCATATACTTTACCTAATATCAGATATTTTAATTGTAAAACAACATAAAAAGTAATTGTTCGAAATTAATCTTAAATATATACCGTTTTTTTTTGAAACGCTGACAACCCTTAAATGGTCCCTCTTAAATACGACACAGCGGCAGCGGATTTGCAATAATGTTGAAGGTTAGAATCAAACCGATTTTAAGGTGCACCCACAAAATAATTATTTGTAAATTAAGTAAGTTAGTATTAGCTAATTCAATTATGCAATAATGTTCCCAAAACTTCAAGGAATATATTACAATTAACATTTGTAATATACATAATCGCATTGTATTTTAAAATAATTAATTTCTGATTTTGCGGATTTGAATCCGCCGGCCAAATGGCACACGGAAAGTTTCCGTGCGTTTCGTCTGCAAATTAACAGAGACTTAACAGAGGGAAATACGAATCCGTAAAAATTTTTCGGAAGTGAACACTAGAACAGGTCAGGGAAATCCGAATCCGAATAAATTTTACGGAAGTGGAAACTAGAACAGGCCTGATAATTTTTATACCCTTGTAGGGTATTATAATTTCAGTCAGAAGTTTGCAACGCAGTGAAGGAGACTTTTCCGACCCTATAAAGTATATATATTCTTGATCAGCATCAACAGCCGAGTCGATCTAGCCATGTCCGTCTGTCCGTTTCTACGCAAACTAGTCCCTCAGTTTTAAAGTTATCTGAATGAAACTTTGCATATAGTCTTCTATATACTCTAACTGCTATATATGTCGGAACGGGCCGGATCGGACGACTATATCATATAGCTGCCATACAAATGTTTGATATTATACATAAGGTGGGACGGATCTGTCATTTGCCTCGTTCTGTGATAAAATTGTAGCTCTCCTTTTTGGTTATATGTATATCCAACCAAGCCTGTTTAGATGGCCTATATGCTTAATCATCAGGTTAAACGATGTTTGGTCAACCCATAAAGAGATGCTTCAAGTGTTTTGGGGCTGGACATTTGCAAAAGGACTGCAAAGGACCGGATAGGAGAGACCTTTGCATCAGATGTGGTGAAAGTGGTCACAAAATAAAGACCTGCACCAAAGCTCTAAGATGCTGTATCTGCACAGCAGAGAACAGGAGCGATGTTGGACACCTCCCTGGGACTGCGCATTGCCCCAGCGTGACAAGAAAAGGAAAGCCATGAAGATCCTTCAAGCAAATATGCATAGAAGCAGAACGGCAAATTACCTACTGCACCAAATCGTGCTGGAAAACCAAATTGACGTTGTTATCATAAGCGAACAATACACAAAGACGGCGGCCATATGGATTCCGGACCCCACCACGGCTCCACACAGAAGTGACAAAAAAGGAAGATGCCACGTCATTACACAAATTAGAAACTGGACGATATTCAGCTGCTATTTGACCCCAAGTGACGACATTCAGACCTTCCAGACGAAACTTGAAGATATTGAAGACAACGCAAGGCATATAGGTGGAAACCTTATAATAGCTGGGGACTTTAACTCAAGAGCCCAGGAATGGGGTATGCCATCAACTGACTCTCGAGGCCGTAGAGTCCTAAACATGGCCGCAAGAACCGGGATGCTAACAGCAAATGTAGGTGCAACACCCACATTCAATCGAGTAGGGAACGTGGGCACAATCCCCGACATAACACTAGTGACAGAAAACTGCGCGCACAAAATCGCCGACTGGAAAGTCCTTGATACCTACAACGGAAGTGACCACTGCTATATTATGTTTGACATATCAGAAAACGAAGTGACTACATTAGCACCATCGAGGAAAGGATGGAACGCTAATCGACTGGACAAAGAAATGCTTATTCGAGAAATTGACGCAAGGCTGAACCGACAGAGAGGCGGTGACATAATCAGCAACAACATGACAACCATAAGGCAGGCCTGCAACGCTGCAATGCCTAAAATGGGCAATCGTCGCAGACAAGGACAAGAAGCGTACTGGTGGACCCAAGAGATTAAAGCTCTCAGAGAAACGTGTATAAAAAACAGACGCCGCCTTACGAGGGCTAGACGGAGAGGGATCTTTACAGAAGAAGAGAGCCAATTTAAGAAATCCAAGAAGGATTTAAATATTGCCATCCGAAAAAGCAAAACGGAGAAATGGAAACGACTCTGCAACGATGTCAATAGTGACCCATGGGGGCTCGGATATAAAATCGTGATGAAGAAGCTCAGAACAAGAAATCCAACACCGGATCTAGAGGAAGAGCAAATGGACCAAATAGTCAAAACACTATTTCCCGCCCATACAAATAGCACAGCAAGGACTACTCCACCAATAGCCGAACACCAGATCGAGCTCTTCACTGAGGACGAGCTACTGAAAGCGACATAAACCTTAAAAAGGAAGAAGGCCCCAGGGTCCGACAACATTCCAGCAGAAATCCTAATAGCGATCGCGGAGAACCGACCCCATATCCTATTGGATATGTATAACGAGTGCATTACCAGCGGGAAATTCCCAGACATTTGGAAGGTGCAACGGTTGGTCCTGATAAGCAAGGGCAAGGGAGACCCCCCTAACCCCGTCAGCTTATCGGCCATTATGCATGCTTAACACAACCGGGAAGCTACTAGAGAAATTGCTCAAGCCACGACTAGCAGCAGCGATCGAAAGAGGAGGGGGTCTTTCCCCGAGGCAGTATGGGTTTAGACCAGGAAGATCGACCATTGGAGCAATCCAAGAAGTCGTGAACCAAGCTCTCAGCAGCCAACAGGGCAACAACTTCTCGAGACCGGTAGTGCTCCTGGCCACTCTGGACGTTAAAAACGCATTCAACAGCGTTAGATGGGACAACATAATTGATGCTCTGAAAAGACGATTCCAAATCCCAGGATACCTGATACGGATAATACAGGACTATCTTGACAACCGACGACTACTGTATCAAACAAAAGCAGGGGAGAAAAGCATGCAGATAAACCTAGACATCCCAGAGGACACGACTATCGTGGGATACGCAGACGACATAGTCGCAGTCATTACAGCGCGCAATACCGAGTATGCACAACGCAAGCTGACGCAAGTAATGATACGTGTAAAAAGATGGCTGAACTCACACGATCTAAAACTTGCGGATGAAAAAACGGAGCTATTATTAGCTACCAGGAGAAGGATCCCCCTAGAAATAGATATGAGAGTAGGGGAAAACGTTATAAGGACGCAGAAGGTCATAAAGTACCTAGGAGTAAAACTTGACTCAAAACTAACATTTAGTGCACACATACAAGGGGCGAAGAAAAGAGCGACCGAGACTACAAAGGCGCTTAGCAGACTCATGGCCAACGTGGGCGGCCCATTACCATCAAGACGAAAGCTTCTAATGGAGATAAACCACGCAATCATGCTGTACGGATGCGAGATCTCGGCAGGGACCCTTGAGGCAGCCTGCAGGACAAAACCTCTACTGGAGGTGCAAAGAACGATGGCTTTACGAATCGCGAGCGCGCATCGAACGGTATCCGGTCCGGCGGCACTAGTAGTTGCAGGCACGATACCAATCGACCTTTTAGCCAAAGCGCGAAAAAGGATATACGAAAGACGAAAAGATGGAGACACGACGAGGACACTAATCGAGCGGACCAGAGAGGAAACCCTCCGACAATGGCAGGAAAGATGGACAGCAGAAGGGAGAGGCAGATGGACAGCTAGGCTGCTACCAAACCTGGTAGCATGGTCCGCAAGGAAACACGGAGACGTGGATTACTACGTCATGCAGATGCTGACAGGCCATGGCTACTTTGCCGCCTTTCTACACAAGATAGGGAAAAGAACAGATGCCAGATGCATATACGGTGATGCGGAGATCGACAGTGCTGAACACACCATCTTTCAATGCGCAATATTCGGGCCGGCGCGTAGTTCCCTGGAAGAAGTGGTTGGGACAATAACCCCTGAAAGTATCGTGACAAAAATGGTAGGCAGCGAAGCGGCATGGAAGCACATCGCAAGATTCGTGGAGAACATCCTTCGAGCAAAGAAGCCTGATCTGGATGAGACAGCTGGGTAACCTGGACCCAGTAAGAAGATGAGAGCGTATAGCGCTTAACTGGCGCCACCTCGAAGTAATGCGAAAGCTTTTCCGATGTGGAAACACGGCCAATGACGAGGGGGGGGTTTAGTGGGTGCAAGTCCGACATACTCTTTCTTTGCGACGGCAAAGGGGAAGATGCGTGAGGCATTCCCCCTCCTCAACCCAAAAAAAAAAAAAAAAAAAAAAAATGTTTGGTCAACCCTCATGTTGATTTGCCTAGCAGAGTTGGCTATAAATTGATTAGCGCTTTCTTTGTTTTTATCAATATAGTTCGTAATGATGTTAAAAATTAATATATCAGCTCTTTTTGTCTTTGTGATTCGATATAATTTGGAGTTATTTATATAGTGGTGAGTGATCGGGTCTCTGGCAGCAGCCCCCAATGATTTCCTTCGAATTTTTCTTTCAAATAGTCGGATTTTCTCCATTAGATTGGATAGTACGTTAAACCAACCAATGTGACCATATATTAGTGTGGGTAGAATAATTTTTTTATATATTAACGATTTTATTTTTGTTACTTGAGGGATTCTGGGGCCAGCCCTATTATCATTGTTCCAAAAATATTGTGTAGATTATGCATCGTGATCTTGGCGCGCATCAAGGTACTTTCAATGTTTCTTTTAAAGTTTAGCCTACAATCGTACTGAACTCCCAAATATTTGAAGCTGTCGACGATCTTGATAGGAGTGTTATTATTGATATAGATGTGGGGTTGAAAATTCCTGGCATTGGCAATAATATTTTTGAGCTTAGGCCCCTTCAGCAAGCAGCCTATGCATTTGTTGTTTAGTTTTAGTCTCCATTTTTTAAAGTAATTGATCTAAATAGGTGTTTAGGTCAATTTCAGCACTTTCTACCCTCGCTCCCTATGCCAGTATGAGGACGTCGTCAGCATAGATCAGGGAGAGTATGCTTGCGGTAGAGCTTGAATTAGGGTTTCTACGATACTTTGAAAAGTCCGCTAGGTAAACATTGTACAGTACAGGTGCTAGCAGAGAACTCTGTGGGACACCAGCTGTTATATTTCTGATCATGGATTTATCCATGCCATTGAGGTTGCGAACAAAAAAGGATCTGTCTGTTAAGTATGACAGTATTATCCTTGTTAGTTTTGGGCAAAACCTAAACAAATGGGACATTTTAAAGACTAGCCCATTTGTCCGTATCGTGTCAAACGCTTTCCCAAAATCCAGGGCGCATGCAATGGTTGGCTTCCTCTCAGATAGATTCGTGAAAATGAAGTCATTTGCAACAGCTAATGCATGGATGACGAGGAGCTATCTCTGAAACCAAATTGTATATCTTGAAGGATGTTTTTGTTGTTTGTTTGCCTTTTGATTTTATTCAATAGTACCTACTCTCAGTTTCAAACAGTTGGCTTACTGCCGAGAGAATACTAATGGGTCTGTAGCTTTTGAGCTTGTCCTTTTCACAGTTTAGTTTAGGTATTGGCATGATTCGGCCACTTTTCCATTGAGTCGGATAATATCCGATGTTGAAACAGTTGTTTAATAATCTGGCTAGGTGGACTAGAACCATCAGATTGCAGCGTTTCATTAGAAAATTGCTAGTGCTATCTGGTCCCAAGGTTTTCTTTGCATTATTGGCCCTGATGTATTCCACTAGCTGCTCTTCGTTGGTAAAACCGCAGTCAATGGCCCTAGTGCAAGTGCCATCAGCTGTTTGCGATTAATTGAATTCGACAATTGGCACATCCAATGTCTGTGTGACAAATTCATTGACGAAGTTGTCGACAAACGTGGCGGGTCGCGACGATTCTGGGGAATCTGCCGCTAAGTCGTCGTTTTGTTTGTGCGTTTGCTCATATTGCCATGCCAAAGCATTGACATTCCCAAATGCAGTTGTTAGCATTCTGGGAGAATCAATGTCTATCTTGTTAACTTCATCCTGCGTCAAGTTGATCGTTTGCTCAAATTCATATGCCGAATCGGAGAGCAACTGTTTCTTCAAGCTGATGTCTTTCGGTCTAATGTCCTTAACCCTTCGTTCAATTTCAGTGTCGATGAGCCGAGACAAAATCGAAATTATCAGCCTGATTTCATCACCCTCGCGACTGGGCAAAGTGAGACGATGCCTATGCAGGCGACGCCTCAATAAACGACGACAGTGAATCAGTCTCACGCATCCCCTACTAAGTATCACTGCTTCCTTGGCTTGGTCGGATCAATGACTCGCCGTGGAATGGCCGTTTGACTTCCAGGTCGAACACACCACTTAGTTTGCCTACGCACGCATCAATTTCGGACGCGTTCAAGTTTGAATCATTTGGAATTTCTTCCAAAGTGCCTCAAGATCTTCATATTCCAGGCCAAGTGATCCATCCTCTCGAAACTCAGGACAATCTTTGGGTCTATTTGTGTTGGTAGATAGCGCCCTAACATGAAACTTGCAAAGACCCCAAAATGATCGGACGTAAAGTCCTTAATGACGTCGCAGTGGGTTGTGCCATTGTCAAGTGGTAGATCATCGGTTGATAGTATCAGATCAATTGACGAATGATTATTTCGAATGTTACGCCGTGTAGGCTCTATGGTTGGCCTCAATGCCAAATTTGGTTGACTTAGCAGCCAATCATATAAGATTCGGCCGTCCCTATTTATATGATTGCTAATATGGTAGGGGAAGTGCCAACTAGGGTGTTTGGCATTTAAGTCACAACCAATTATGATTGAGCTATTACTACTACACGCGTTCAATTCTATGTCATTTATCAACGAGTTGAGATCAGAGTTGGTCAACGGGTCATTTGGTCTTTTGTATAGCGAAACGGCAACAATCGATTTGTGCGGCACGGAGCCAGTATCTGTGATGAGTTCAATCGCAATAGCCTCAATATGCTTGAGCGGGTTTAAATTTTTCAATTTGGTGACGTTGACTCAATCTGTGTTCTGCGATTAGCATAAGCTTGGACGATGTAATTTTAACAAGCAGTCAAACTCGTGTCTCTTTTGTAAAGATACAATGGAGTTGACATTTTGGAACATGCATTTGAGTTTACGCATTTGTTAATGCAGAAGACATGGCCATTTGCATTAGAAAGTCGAGAAGGATTTGCTGTTTCTGTTTTTTGAGCTCCATCGGATTGGTGACTGGCATGCCAGCATATTTTCCTACCACACTTTTCATTATGTCAAGACAATTGAAAATATCTGTACCAAAAAATTCGATAGCATCACTGTTACAAGAGTTTAGAGACAACGATGTGTTTGCAACGGGTCGAAGATTTGTATTTGATTTGGCTGCCAATCTAGCTTCCATATGTTTTTAGAGGGCTGTC